TGTATTTAAGTTTTTATTTTCGTTATAACAGAGTATATATTGTATCCTTGAAGGATATGTAACTCGACTTATTGCTAGTTAACAAAAACATGTACAAATAACACATTAATTATTTTTTTAGTTTATGATAAAGGAATATTTAATGTTCGTTTTTTTAACGGTTAATTTTATGCTCATTGATTTTTATTTAATCGGATTAACGTTTAACGTTGTAACAAGTGATTGTTTAGAGACTGTCGATATAGAAATATATTCGGACGCTAAAGATTTTTTGTTTTTCATCATTCTGAGATTACCATAAAATATTCTTTTTTTTACTTAATGTTAGTAAGATTTACGTATAGAGTACAGATAGTAATATTTGAAGAAAGATATAATATATTTTTGTACGCCAAAGGTTTAATAAAATGAATCATGCACCATGATGTTGCATTTAATAGTTAAATTTTGTTGTACTAAACAATTAAATAAAAACTTTGAATTACAACTTCTTATTTCGATCGTTAACACAAACTTACGGTATTTTATTTCTACTCATCTCCTTTTTTATGAGTATTACAAAGTCTTAATTTACAAATAATTAAACGTATCACGCAATATCGTTCTATGTTCCGAAACGACGGTAACGGCATGTTTAAAGGAAAAACAAGAAAAGACTCCAGCGTGACTTCTCTCTGTTATAAAGCGCATCTCGAATCGGTGCAACCATCGAGATAAAGTCAGAAATGAATTAAATATATGAATGCCTATGCAGTGGAGCGTTGTATCCGCTTATGGGGTTCCATAAAGCATGCCAAACGCCTCGAAGCGTAAACAGGCCGGTGCACCGCAAAAAAATTAGAGAAATATTTACTTGCTAAGAAAAGTATCGACGTAAATCCCTTTAGTACTAGGCAAGACTTAACTGTTCAATAAAATTTTACGAAACGTACTTGTCGCATTCATCGGAGATTTCTAGCTAACCGATAGAACACGTAATACAAAGCATATTTCTTATAATTTTATTTCAATCCACTAAACTATGACTTTCAGTATATCAAAGTTTTATCTTAGAATTAATTATCTCTCCATCATTAGCTCTATATAAAAAATTTCTAACTTACAAATGGTATTGATATATGATTAATTAAAATTTGAATGAATGCAGAAGATGACAACAGTATTTAAGAAACCATGGGTCTACCAATATTTCAATAACTATCTGTGTGTATTTTTAGCTATCGGACACTCAACTTGGCCTTATTAATTTCTTTTCATGGACGACGAACCATAAAGCACAAAATACACTTACTGCATCGTCATTACTGTAACAGGCAGCGAAAAGGAAATTGCTGTTACTGGAAGGCTCGTTAATTGAGCGCCTGTAACCGTACGAAAGTATAGCGATAATAAATAATCTGGTGATAGTGGTGTTTGTTAAATCTTTTGTTGTACAAGATCGGAATGTTAATGAGATAAGAGATCAAGAAATAAATTGAATTGCATGATATAATAAATATCAATGTCCAGTATTAATAAACGTAGAATGCTAGTTTTTGGTGTTTTCGATACATTAATTTTGTTTTACAATAATTTTCCAATATCTATCATAAATCAATATACGTAGCTAAAAATATAGGAGAAATATTCGATGTAAATAGCATATTTTAATATATTATACGACGTTTATTTGACATTTCCTTGATGTGTTAAACACATGAAACATGCGTTGAAATTGAAATGAGAAAATAAAGTTTTTTGGAGAAATTTCTTCTTCCACGTACATTCTAAAATAAACAGAAAAGGAGACATTTTCATTAAAAATTCCAATATTAAGTTCCATAAATATTTTCACAAATTACAATTAAAAACGCTTAACTAGTGAACAATTTTATATCTCGGGTTTAAATTTTTACTCTGCGGTAAAAAGAATGTACAGAATAATTATAAAAATATTAAATTTAATTTACGTAAAGTGACATGTAATAGTGCTCGAAGAATATTTGTGTTGCTCAGTAATTCTTCGAAAAGCATTCACTAACGTAATACACAAATGTTTTTTACAGTTTTATAGAACCATTATTTTTCATTTTTAGCGAGTCTCGAATTTCTGCAACAGCGTAATTCTCTACTTCCGAATACCTACTGTTCATCCAGCTCGAGTTTAAGATTCATAGAACATAATTGCGTATACAATAGCGAGGAAAGCATGAAAAACGATTATGATAATGATTTAACAAATGTTGGTGATTATTTTCCCTTCTTACTTCTATATAACGCTCAAATCATATCGTAATATGCTGTAACTGAGCATAGCCATCAAAAAATATATCTTTCTTTCAGATTTAAGTGTTTTATTGCCTCCTTAGATTAATGGAATCTTTGCATGCCTACGTTAAAAAAGTTGCACTCAGTTTTGCCTAATTATTTAATTAGAATTTACGGTTGCATCGTAGGAAAAAGACCAATCTTTCTTTCAAATTATTTGTATGTAAGTCGGTTTGGTAAAACCGTTATCTAATAATTTGAAAAACGCTGGAGAACGCTCGTGAATGTACAGTTTCAGTTTTCATCGTCAACACTTTCGTAATATGCAACTAACGGATACATTTTCCGTCTTGAAGCGTAACAAACGATAACGGTGAACGATTATTACTAAAACCTTTAGCGAGCGAGGCCACGTAACAAACGTAATTACAAAGAATACGCGCGTGCCACCGTTGAAACGGATCCCTCGTTAAGGGAGCGTGCTACGGAGAATAGAGAGACGAGAACGATTCGATTTTCATTAAAAAGCAATCGTTTCGCGGCGTACATACGGTCGTTGCCGATGATTCACTACGAGGCCTGGGCAGACAGAAAACAACGGGAGAGCAATTTTCCCGAGAATCTCGGTGCGTTCGAAACGCGTGACATAGCACTGTGCTCTATTAGTCTCAGTCAGTCAGTGACAGGTACAGTAAACCGGCACGAAAATGACGGCCAACACGACGTCATTCTCACTTTTTACGCAGGCATCTGACACAGCTGATGAAAGACACGATCCTCGATGAAAAATAAAATACTGTAACAAAACTAGAAACTTTTCATTTTTTTTTCTTTTCTTTCCTTTTTTTTTCCTTACATTTTATCAAAATTTATATTCGACTGTGTAGTAAGTTTATTGGTATTTCTTTGAAAGAGCATCGGAGATCATTATTTTTATATCAGGTATATTTACAATCACCGCGCATTATTTTGTTCCATTATCCTTCGCAAATGAATTAAGTAAATGAAATTAAAAATATTTTAAACGTTTGCAAAATACATCGAATTTTTCTTTACTGAAAATATTGCCACAAGGAATTATTTTTCAACATTCTGATTTGATTAAAGATTTTCGGTACTTTTAATGTAAATCATCTTTTATGTATTCTTCTTTGTCTGAATACAAACCCTAACAGTGTTCCAACATATTTGATCGAATACTGGCATTGACCCAAAATCAACGCACCGGAAAAGTCAGCAACCGGCTAAGCAATTCGTCTTTTATGCATGTCGGAATCACGTAATGTCTCGCGATTCCGCCAGTTTACTGAGGCTTCCTAGACTGGAATGCCGCCGCGAGTAAAAGAAACCGAAATGAAATTTTGATTCGTAATAAAAATGCTTCACGCATAATGAACATTTCTATTCTTCGTTAGCGATTGCATCCTCTTCCGATAGAATCAAACGTGGAATATACATGAAATATAAACTCACCATTGGAGATAATCACCTCGATTTCTTTTATACAAATCTCTTTTATCTATGTATCATCCTTCCGTTACCTGAAAAATAAAAATGAAACGTCAGAGAGAGAGAGAGAGAGAGAGAGAGAGAGAGAGAGAGATTTACTCCTTTCAATTTTTGATCCATACTTCCATACTTTAAAAAATTTGCAAAGAAATCAGATAAGAAATCTTGCAAGGGATTCTATATAAAAGTAGACAAGCAAATTTTTAAGGATTCCACATAGAGATTGTTTCGATTGGAATGTTTTTATGCCATATTTTAGAAAAAGTAAACTGAAACATTTTCTCGAATTCTACTTTACTTCTTTCATTTTCGTATATCCCATTGTTCGTAAATTATCCAAAAGAATTCAATTAAACTCAAACGTTAAGATCGAATCTACAGGGCGATTAAGTCTTCTTGGAACTAAATTTCTAAAAAAGGAAACAGAAAAGAATAAAATTAAATGCGGAAGAAAATAGGGCGAATGCTATCCCGAAGGAAGCTCGGAAAGGAGACGCGGTGTCCGTTCGAGGCCGTCACTGCTCGCGAAGAAGACGCGGTAAGGATGGTTGTTAGTGGAGGCAGCAAGCATGCATTAACAGTACTCTGGATGGGCCGGTGGTTCTCTGGTTCCTTGATTTCCGTTCCTCCCCTCCAGGAGACAGTACCCGTTGGAGGAACATCTACCACGGAGGGAGAATTCTTGCGTGGTACACGCGCCTCAGTTCATCGGGAATCTTCGTCAAAATTGCATCCCTCTCTGTGCAATTCCTTCTACCAGGAAGTGTGTTTCTCGCGTGTTTTGCGTTCACGATTAAAGAAACAAGGATAAGGAAGGGAGACACTTCGGCTGGATCATGTGGATCATCCTGATCGCTGGATTTTGCACGGTGGGTGTCAAACTTCGGTTTTTACCTTTTTATGTGGATCCTGCGAAAGGATTCGCACGATGCTCGGAACTCCGGTGAATTTGCACTTTAAAATTATCGATCTCACGCCTGACACTTGTCGTTGATTACGTAGGGAGAATTATTTGAAATCACATTCCAAAGAGAACGAATTCTGTGATAGTATAGTAACTCGACTTTTCAACCCATTTTCCTCTTGTTCTTTCGTTTCACTTCTTACAACTTTGTCGAGCTTTTAGATGAAGGATTTATGGAATTCTATCTTTCTTTTTTTATGTGTTTCTGCGTCTTGATAAATTTATAGGAAAACTTTCAAATTCTCTATAGGGTTGGGGTGATAATGATGTTTTCATCTCGTAGCGGAGATATAAAATTTTATTTGCATAAGAAGACCGCGGGTATAATCCTTAGAAGGCGTTTCACGTCGAAATGTTAACTCGGATCTTTTTAACGCGTTCGGTGCGAGCGGTATTCTATCAAACTTTTTCAATTCCGACTGTTCTTTTAAATTACTGGTTTAGAAGTCACAGATAAATGAATCGAAATCTGAAAATTACGTCCATGCAAACGATTTGAATACAAAAAAATAGAATTTATTGAGTTACATTAGAAATACCTCTTTAATTTAATCACGTATCGCTTTGAATATATATTTTTAGTAGGACAGTCTATTTATATTAACACGTATTTTGTATATTCAGAGTTCAGGGTTAAAACAGTGTAAAAGACACTATATATAATATAAAAAACTATAATTTATGACGTGCAATAAATTAATCGCAGGAGTATAAAATATAAGTAAGACTAGTATACCAACAATATGTATATCGATACAAGAGAATATAATAAATAAAGTATCCGATAATCAGATATAAATCTTTCCAAATCAGATTTCGTTAATTTATACCATTCCAAAGCCTCAACGTTCGATCGTTAGTAAATTCAAGATTTCTTCATCAACAAGCTATACAGGAAGTTATTAACTTGTATGGCATCCCATATGCGGAGACAAATCCATGTCATCCTGCCAAAAGCGCCAGTGAGAAATAAAGAATTTACGGCGCCATAAAAGAGACGGGTGCGGTTCTTTCGTAAAAAAGAATAAAACGAAAAAATGTACGTGTATATAGTTATCTAGGAAGTAATCTCGAGGGAACCAGGCGCACACGAGGGCCCGTTTCACGTAACAGATTCGGCTGTTTGTCTCTTCCCGTTAACTTTCCGCGCATCAATCGAATCGGAGCGTACCGCGCACACGCGCATGTAGCACTTTACGTAAATTCTTCCACGCGTGTATTATACACCACTGCTCTGTTAATTTGCCTTTAATTTAACGACACGGTATCTACAACATACCTGCAACAAATTTAACAATTACATCTGAGATATTATAACATTTATTAATTATTTATCGATATCGATGAAATCTAATTACGTATTGGACTGAGGATTATTATGCAAATTTACACTTTTGCCAGTACAAGGAAAGAAATAGAATCTGACTAGAAATTTATAACATCTATAAAAAAAATAACGGCAAATACACTATCTTGGAAATTTGATGTATTTTTCCCTATTGTATGTATTCTACCATATTCTATTTTTACAATTCTTTATTTTTCCATTTCTTGAGATTTCGTATAAATGCACAGAAATCCGTAGTCTACATGATCACAATTTTTCAAATTCAAGTCATTTTCACTTGTGACATACTTTACCCGTAAGCCCCTGAAATATGAAAAAATTGAGAAGGCGATACGTATACGACTGTGGAAAGTACCTTACAGTATGATAAAAAAGTGAAGTGTTACGTTCCAATTTCGATAAGCGGCGATTTATACGAAATAAACAGAAACGCAGCGATACAGCGTTCCTATTACCGCCATCGAGTTTGCCATTATTATTACGGCTACAATCGGTAGCATTATTATTCGCAGTTTCAATTGAATTTCGTGATACAGAGAACAGGATCGCGTTCGTTCATCAAACGAGACTCGACCGGTGTCGGACGATCGATCGAAAAAACATTAACGTTTCGATAAAAGTCCTATCGACCGGCAGCAATCCATAGTTTGGCATTCAATTTGAAACAAGGCTTGATCAAACTTCTATTAACTCCACAAATTGGATACCTCGACTGTCACGACCACGCAGCAACTGGGGTCCTCTTATTTTTCCCTCCCAACCGGTCGGTTTCTTCTTTAATGCGAATAGTTTCCGTTTAACGATTCGGAAATCATCGTCGGACGTTCCAATTCCATCGAAAACTTTGTGTTTCAGCGTCGTTTGCTTCACCCGTGCCCGATTAAAGTGCTGTTACAATAACAGTTTCGACGCACGCCATATCGGCCAAGTAATGGCTCAATGATTATTAACTCTTTAACCGTATCGATTTTTAAATTAGTAACTTCTTTCGGCCATGGATTTAAAATTTTGTTAAACGATCGGATCTTTTCGTTTTTGTCTGCTCAAAAGTTTGCACTATCTTTTACTCCTTAAACAAAACAAATTTTTGAGTATAATATCTCTGAGGTATAAAAACGTTATATTTTGACCTCTATTTTGAAGTATAATTAATTACAGTTTATAAAATATTATAATGTATGAAATATTTACCTACTTGAGGAAGTCATTATTTCTTTTGGAATTCCAATATGTTTCAAATTTTCGTGATAGAATTATGCTAAGTAGAATTATGTACATGGGTAGTAGACAGTAGGATCCTACTTGTCGTTATTTTTACTTAATTCTACTTATACCTGAGGAAACGATTTGGATAACTGGACATCTTATAACAGGAGATCGCTGATTTTCTTCACTATCTATAATTTGTCACTGAAATAACCGCAGAGTATGTTCGAATAACTGTATTCGAACGTATGTTACCCATTCTTTTGCTTACTAACGTACGCAAAATTGTAAGCGTTCGTATAATTGGAATAAGATTCACCAATAATTCGATGTACAATAACTTACCAACCAGTAAAATTAGATTCCATTGCACATTACAATCACAAGCTAAATGACTAATATTGTTAGTATGTTAACTAACTACATAGATCCTACCAGTTCTTTTGTTTATATAAGTACATAAGAAAGCTATCAATAATATGATAGATATAATATTGACACATACATCAATATAAATGTGCCTCTAGATCTTACAGAACACAGAAATAATATATTTCATATTATAATGATAAGTCTGGTATCCACATGCTTTTATTTTTTTCGAGCATCATAAAACAGTTTAGATAAAAGGGACTAAGTAATTTTCTATGTTAAAACACTTACGCAACAAGTTCAGTATCTTGTTTTTTCCAGCCAACGGATAAAAAACAATGTCTGTGAAAACATCGAAATTGATTATCTCCGCACTGTTTACATCCTTGTGACATCTTAATTGCTAATTAAGGTAACTACGCGAAAAATCTATGAATTATGTATAATTCTATGTAGTTTTAATATCGTGCTATTTAATATGCATGCAGTTGACACAGATGATCCAAGGTAATTTATTAGCCCGACTTGAAATCGTTAATTACGCGGCTGCATTTGAATCACGTTTTTCCAATTTCGCTGCGAATTTTTCGTAAATCCGCTCGTTTCATATCGTCGTCCATTCAAGATTATTGATGAAAAATCAGTGAACCTGAAATAATTAATGATACGACACAGTAAATCGGTGTATTTCGATTAAATCCGATGAGATTTTGTTTAAATTAATCGCTCTTCAAGTACGTTGACTCAATTACCCTCGCTCATACCTGCCCTCAATTATACTCATTTTTTCGCGTTTAATACAAAGCTTAATAAAAGCGGGAAACAAGAGTGAATTTCTATAATATTTTTGCAGTCCGTGGATGATTATTACATTCAGTATTTAATGAATATAAACCGCGCACATTAAGCGTTTACTGTACGAACATTGATTTTGTCACATTAACTTTTATGATCATTGAATATATTCACTTTATCGATAAAAATTCGTCGATCAATCAACATTCTTAATCAGCGATAGGTCATTTTGATTTGAAATAAGCAGTTTTTAAGTACTTTTGTAATAAGTTTTTGCCTCTCATATTACTGGGCTCAGTATCTAATTATCAAAATATTTTTAATATTTTTATTAAAATTACGTAATAGTATTAATTTAATGGCGCTTGTTACTATAACGGAATATTAAATAATTATGGATCATGTAAATGAAATTGTTGATTGTATCTTCTACCGGCAAATTATTTCCCTATTTCTCAATTATGTTAATACTAGTGTGAGTTCAATGACTCTTTGGTAATTATAAAAAACAAAAGTAATTCGATAAGTTACATTGTTTATAAAAGATTTGTGTACCTGAAATTTCCCCTTCCTGGATAATAATTAATAAATAACTATAAATTTCAACATAAAACAATTCTCTACCAAGATTCCATGCTTTTAATCGTATTCGTAAAAATATGATCTTGCATAAATACTCGCTAAATTATCATATTAATAAGACATCTAGAGAGTTGACAAGGTACACCCTTTTATCGATCAGCTTATCAATCGTATCGCGGAAATCGAGCAATCCTGAAAGCTGGGTTGACCTACCTCGAAGAAATAACCATGACCTGTACTACGATTATACGCCTGGCTGACCGTACGATGAACAACCAGTATGGTACGCATACATATAACGAATAACTTAGGCGGGCACCAGAGCGTTTCTCTACACCGTTACTCGTATTGAAGTCTTTTCTCTTCGCGTGTTGGTCACCTTGTTTCGTATCGAAGTTTTATACGGCGCTGGACATCGAAGGGAATGGTAAAAAGGCGCCTTGGGCTCAATATCGAGGAAAAAGTCCAAGGCGACCCACGTTAATTAAAGAAATTACTTTATCTATAGTCGTGAGAGGTCACTCAACGCTATCCTCCAGATGTTCAGATGAAAAAACGGCCGCTTCGAGGATAGTAACACGGCTGAACAGATGTTATTTCACGGTGAAATAGTTCAAAAGTTTGTTAGTAAAGTATGTTAATGGTTAATGCGTTCCTGTTACCGCGAAACGTTCGCTCAACTATGAAATTCTTCGTTGCCATGCCCGCATTGTATTTTGTATCATTAACACCGAGGTTACGGCATTCTTTCACCTCTTTTTATCTTGCTCCTCTCTGTCGTTGAATCTCATCTTTAATTACGATCAAACGTAGCGTAAACTCGTGCTGACGGTGTACGTGTGTACACTATCGCTCAAAAGTATTCAAATACTTGATCTTTATTATTCACAGGATGTATTTTAATTACAAAAGTGCATGTTGTAAAGCTACGCTATGGATATTTTGACGCATTAAATAATAAATAAATGATGAATTAAATCGTCCGAAGTAACCCAATGCCTTTGAGCGGTAGTGGCAGGCATTTATGTACATTGTACATCGTTTATAAGATCTTGTTATAGAAATATACGCGATAGATAACGGCATCAGCGGAAACTGACGTAAGAGATAATTAAAAGCGTGATTGAATTTCCATAGATAGTTTTATCTCTAAGTGTCCATGAATATTATATTTCAAGGCAATTGGAAAGGAAAAAACTACATGCAAGAAGGAAATGAATTACGTACCAGGAGGTCACGAATGTCGTTCGAGCAAACCTGTGTAGATGAATGACTGTCGTATTGTTTCAGGTTGCCGCCACCGTTGCTCAGGATTACGAGGTCTCTGACATTCAGTGCAGCGGCGCAGGATCAGCAGCCGATCTCCTGACAGCGAAGATCAAAAGACCAGTTGGCTTCAGAGGGGCGCCGCTCTTTGCCGACGACAGATCCGCCAATCCGCTTACCGACATTCACTGCCAGATCAGGCCAGATCCCAATGATCCTCAGGAAGATAACTATTTCCTGAAGGTGACTGACTTCTCGAGATGCGGCATCCTGAAGAGAAACGTGAGTCATCGATCGAAATTTTGCTTCCTGCGCTCGTTGATTGTCCATGTCCGCGTTCTGCTACGCGCGTTGATAAACCGAAACCGATCAACTAATAAATGCTTTCGTATTATCAACTTGTCACGTAACTGATCGCAAAATTCGATTATCGATCGCTTCTTGCTTAGATCAGATGATCGATGAACACACGCGACATCTACGATTGTCTTGTATATACATCTAGGGAAGATTTTTATATATTTCTAACGAAACGTAACTACAGTATAACAATATAAATATCGTACATTGCAAACTATTCTGACATATCGTATGAATTTATATAATGCGATTGTATATTACCGTAATTGTTAAAAAATGAATATTCCAAATATTTAAATCTAGCACTTGAAAGAATCTTGAAATTTATCGTTGACATTACATATAGATATGAGCTGTTAGTTATCTAACTCGTTAAGGACTAAATAATGAAGTACATAAATAATTAAATAAAAAATACATAAAAGCTAGGAAAGAGATACGATGAACAAAATTTTATTGTCATTAGGGTTTCATTCACCTGCGAGTATGGTTTCCGGCATTTCCCGGAGTCGTCATGCTAGCCGATCAAGAATTGATCTTAATGTGCCGACCACCTGAGCCAACGTTACTCCGTCACAAAGCTGCCGGTTTCGCTGGAACCTTGTAAGTTATTGTTCCACATTGACAAGATCGTGTTTTATCTGATAACTCCTATGGAAACGGACATGAATTGCAAAGAGGCTCGAATAAATATTTACTTTGCTTCAAGTTATTTATGGTATTGGTGATAATTCTCATCGTTTAATTATCTAGATCACCGACAAAAGTATACATGTATGTACATATGTATAATAAAACTTTCAGCAGTTCATTCTATAAAAAAAAATATGCGTAAACAAAAATTTTCATGTTGGCACCGTATTGCGGAAGATATTTGAAATATGTCGTGTACAAATTTTGTTTTCTAAATTTTGAAATTCTAATCTCTTTCAGTCCTCACGGGGCAAGAGTATCTGGGGTGGTCGAAGAAACACCTGGACGACTGGAGTACGAGGTAGCCCTTTACCGCGAAGCTACGGGCAACGTATCGGACGCATCGGGGTCGCAGACTGTCGATCAAGCGGTTCCCATTGGTACAAAGCTTCAGTTAAGAGCTCGAATCAGTGCAGACAGTGCATGGGGTTACATTAAACTGTTGGAAGTGACCGTTAGTCCCGATCCCGATCAGCCTCACGCACCAGGAAGTGTCGTGTTGGTGAAGGACGGCTGTAGAAATCGAGATTTCGCGTCAATAATTCCTCATCAACCAGCCCGTTATCGAGAGAGAAAGAACGAAGTTTTCCTCGATTTCGAAGCCTTTCTCCTCAGTTCCATGAGAGAACGTTCCACGCTGTGGATCCACTCGCAGATCAAGGCTTGCATGGAACCTCAGGACTGCCAACCGGTAAGGACATAATTTACGGTCCAATTTAACTTGTGGTTGACGTCTGAATGAGTGGCTATTCACCTGTTCAGCTTTGTAATTCGCTTTCTGACATAACAAAAACATTCGTCCTTTAAAGGGCTCGTGCTTAGGAGTTTGCGGTTTTTCAAATAATTATTTGCAAACATAAAAACGAGATTTACGTACTAAAATGATAAAGAAAGAATCTAAATTCATAATGGATTTGTAATTAATTCGATTGATATGTCAGATTTATACTTTTATTTTCTTAAATTACAAATTGTTAATTATTGAAAAATTTCTTTGTGATCAAGTGACAGTACAAGTGTCAATATCTAGTAACAGAAGATGGCAAAATTAATATTTTAAACGATCATAATTCAAAAGCATTAACATTTGACAAAAGTGTTTCTTTTATTTACAGAAATCGTAAGAATAAATAACATATAACAACCTATTTACAGGATTTTTGTCTCGATCTTTTTGAACCATCGGGACACGGAAAAAAGAAAAAACGATCTATCGTAGAAGGTACGAACGAATATTTTCCTAAAGTCGACCGCTTGATAAAGGAATACAACGATTCGATACCTTATACGAAATTTAAGGAAAATATCGAATACACGGTGATGATGCCTGATGGTGAGTTAAAAAACATTCCATTCTTTAAACTCGTTAATACTAAAATAGTAATTGCTATTTTCAAGTATTTAGAACATATTTTTATTGTAATTGTTGAAGTATGTAACTTTAATAAAATGAATCTTCAAAATTCATCATCTACGTATTTTGTGATTTCTAGATATATATCAGAAAGTGACTGCTGGACTTGAAAACAGTTGCGGTAGTTTTCTTTACGTTGCAACAGGACTTGGTGCACTTCTGGTTTTATCAGCTTTTATCATGTGCTATCTTGCAACAAGACTTCACAATTTGTCGTCAACTATACCACAAAATAAATCGATCGACGAACTAGTACGAGATCGTGCTAGAAAATATTCTGAACAAACACCAGGCTACACCGGCCGATCTACGGTACAATAGTAAAATGCAAATATTATATTACATATATATTTTATTATGCTCAATCAAAATGAAACAGTAGTTTTCGTGAAATGAAATAAGAAACCAAATTAACAGAACGACTTATGGTACGGATATAAGCAAAATATCATACAAAAATAACAGAATTGTATTATAACGTAATATTTTTTTAAATATCTGTGAGCGTTAAGAGATTATATACTAAACTAAAAACACAAAGTTTAAAAAATATATGAAAGTAATATATTTAATTAATATATTTAATGTATATTATTTAAGGTAGATAAGATAGATAAAATTTGATAAGACTTGGTAGAATTACTGCAAAGATACGGATATGTTATATATTATTTCATATTTGTGTATAACATAAAAAAACAAATGTAATTTACGATCTTTAGCAAATATTAAATTCTTCACTATTGCTCTTCGTAACTGATCATTCACTTTTGCACGTTTTACACAACAAATTGCACGAAAAATTTATTTTATTTCATTTCTCACATTAAATACTTATTACATAATTGCAAATCTACTTCTCCGCTATTTCAACATTTTGTTAAACGTGCAGTGCTATTACGTGACCTGAAACAGTGCGTATATAATCTTTAATAGTAAGTAATCCTAAATGAACCGTATTAATTTATTCATTATAGAATAATTTACTCATATCCGTTACGGTTGAATATAACTATAATGTATTTTCTTTTGAGGGTGATTGTGACTCAATGTACATACATACAGTAGTCGAATACTATTTGTTATTTACAAAGAAAATGTTATCATTTAAAGATACCTAACTACAAATTTCTTAATTGGTCGAATAAACGAATAGGTATAGAAATATTACAAAATATTTACTGTATTAATATGATCGCATATAAGTTATTTATTTCAAAATAAAACATCACTACATTTTTATGCATGTCACAGTTCTAGAAATATTAAATTATTGATAGAAATTAAATCGATCGCTCCATTTCGCAATATTTTATAGCATGTCATTCTATTACATGTTTATGAATATAACATAGTGAGGGATGTGGTAATGCTGTGCAATCGCGCGTATATAAATTAGGATACAAGGGCGGACTAGGACTCAAATTTTTATTGTAGAAATATAAAAATGGGACCTCTTGTGTTCTTATCTAATACGCATGCACATTCGTACAATAAATATGTGTGTGTAACTCAATTAGCGAGCGGCATCAATTACGTGCCTGATTTAAACAAAAACAGAAAGGTCCTATACAGAGTTCTCTTTCAATTCCCACATCGCATCCACTTACACGCTAACATATGACTCGCGCACTCGTATCTTTATATCTCTATGAGTTTTACTGGGAGATTACAATTCTACATAGAGTGGATCCAAGTCCGTAAAACCCTATTGCCTCACCGGGAATGTTCTCAAACCCCCCAATAGCTAGTCCGCCCCTGTAGATACAGTTTATAACAATCAACTTTACTTAAATAAAGTAAAGAATATAAGAAAAAAATTCTACATCAAATAGATTTCGGCCTACAGATAATAAGAGCGTAATAAGAGCAAAATAAAAACGTAGAACAGATTGCCTATTTTGTATCACGATCAAAATGTATCTTTGGTTAATATTTAGTTTCAAGTAAAAATAATGTAACATGATTATGTTACAAAATGTGGCACTTACGACTTATTTTACAATTTTAACATTTGTTTATAAATGTACATTTTCCTTGTACAATGAATTGTCAATTCGTATTAATTAAATGCACATGATGCATTATTGCATATTTGATAATAACGATTACAAATATTATTTCTTGTATACACAATAAGTCTACAAATACTGCACAATTAAATATTGTAAAAAAAATATCGATTGCAAATGCACAAAATTACATTTCATAGAACAATAATACTATAATAAACAATTTATTTAAATAATTATGTTACTATTATCTTTAATTATTATAATATTGTGTCTTTATGTGCTATGAAGAATATATATAGTTATCTTTCCTTCCAAATAATTATGCAAAATTATTATAGTCATACTCCAACTATATTCTAAGTTATAAGAAAAAATATTTAATGTAAAAACAGATTTAAAAATAATCATAACATTTCACAAATTAATCATTTAAGAGTTAATAAGATAGATTTAATAATTTACACTTATAAATTTATTTACTATTTCCACTTTATGTGCTATACAAAAAGAATCCAATTATAAACTAGATTTAACTAAGTGACTATGAAATTAAAAATATACATGTTTTGGTTGTAAAATGTTTATAAAATCATTTGCTTAAATTTTTAATTTCATATAGATTAATTATAGTAATAAACTAGTGCATATATTGTCAAAAAAATAAACAATGCCTTAAATATGATGATAAAATCTCTGTAAAAAAATACATAAAATATATAAGTAAAACCTAACATTGTAAAAGTTCCATTTTTATATAATATTCACATCATGATACATAATCAAAAGCTTATTAATAATATCCTAGTACCAAATTTTAATACCAGATTTATATATATGTGTGCATATTTAGACTTAGCATGTAACATAAAATAAGCTGCTCTAAACCTTCCTAATTAGAAATATTTAAGTTTACAAATATTCACAATCTTTTGCATACCTTTATCGTTGTATTTGTTTTTGTCGTTGAGTTGTTGGAAAAAAAATTGTCTATAATATGTTAATACCTTAAATATTTAGCATGGTTATAAATATTTAAACCACACATATTTTCGAATAGAATTAAATAATTTAAATATTAGTGTGATATCATATTTACAAATATGTTCCATAAAATATAATTATCACACACTTTGAGTGTATAGAATAAATTATTCAGTCCTTTCTTTTTTCTGAGACTTTATGAAGGCTTCGTAAGCTGCTTGTTCTTTTTTTTCCTTCTTTAAATTCCTATTTTCAAATTCCAACCTGCAATTAAGCACTATATCAAAACATCGTGAGTCTGTCTTAAAACGTTGGGATATGCAAATATATTTTACAATCTTAATTATGATAAAATAAATAAATTATAAATTTCTTTGTAAAGAATACACACTTACACAAACTACACGTAAATAGAAATATAAGATGAATCCATGAAGTGTTTGATAGCATAAACTTGCATATCCCATTATAAAAGCATGAGTGATGAATGATATAAAATTTCAAAATAAAGTAAAGAAAAAGATGCTTATTTGAAGCTGAATGAGGAATGACAAAATGCAAGATGGCAAGATTCAACATATCAACAGTTGTTCAAGTTTTTAATTATTATTATGTTTTAACTATAATTATTATTTTATTTAATTATTTATGTATTGTTTTAATTATTATGTGTAGTTCATATGACCTAGGAAGACAAAATACTGCATACAGTACATCTTTTTTGTGGAATTATTTAGTAATAATAATCTTGAGTAATTTTGAGTAATATTGAGTATCGACTATATTTATATTATAAAAAAAATATTATATGAAATAAAAATATTTCTATATCTTTTATTTAATGAAGTATGATAATTTCAAATGCTCATTAAAGTTACACAATCATTATTAGATATATTTAACATTTTTCTATTGAGTGATAATTTTAAAAAACAATTACATTTAAGTTTAATATAAATCTAAATATTTTGTAATATTAAAATATAATATTAAAATTAAAAATTATTTTCAACATTTATTATTACTCATGTTCATTTCCTCTAAAACCGCACAATTAATTTCAAAATTGTATTTTGTTTAGTTTTAATCTTGTATTTTAAAGTAACAATGTGTTAGTATTTAATGTATTAGATATATGCACATTATATGTAATTTTAATTTAGAATTTAACAGTAATCTTTGTAATAATTTATAAATTATTTTTAGTCATACATCCACTTATAGCATATAAAAATAACGTACCTGTGAAGAATTATGCGTTCAACAATTTTCTCTGTTGTCATGTCATTACCACTATCCAATAATTTAAATTTATTCTGTCTTTTAGGTTCAGTATATGGATCTGAACCATCCTCAGAAGGCATAATAGGAGTCTGACCATGACAAACAATAGCTACATCGAAATGTTCCATAAGATCTTTAGTAACTTCATATGGAGCCCCAATTACTACTTCATTAACATACTATATGTAAATCAAATAATAGACTTTAAATATACTGTAGCTCAACTAGTATTTTATAAGATATTTGAAATATTTTATTTCTTACTTTGCATGCCAGCACACTAAGTACTCTTTCATGAAGATTCATAATTGGATGATTACCATATTTATATCTATTAACCACTGGATCTGTATGAAGTCCAACTATAAGATAATCACCTTCTTTTTTTGCAACTTCTAGGAAATCTAAATGACCAACATGAAAAAGATCAAATGCTCCTGCTACATAAACTATTTTATCTCCAGGTTGTGGACTTTTCCCATCACTGAATTGGATAATTTTTTGTGTAGTAGGTAAGAATTGTGAACAACCTGTCCATGGACTCCGTGCTGTTCTATCTTGACCCATGCTTTTACTAGGTTCTCTATCAACACTATATTCACTATCTCCTTGTTTAAAATGTTGCCGTGTCATTAACAGCATTCGGCCTACTAGATCAGTTGTTGATACACCAGCTGTTCTTTGAACTTCCCTGTAATAATTATATTTGTTTATATTTTATTTATTCTTAACTTTTATTATTATTAATATAACTCTCTTATATTAATTTATTTTATATATACCTATAACGACCTGCTGCTTTGACCAAATGATACGTGTCTACACCATCCGCTGTCATGGTGATATCATCACCATGAACACAAAAATCACAATTGTATTTGTCTAATGTTTCTAAAGTCGTAACATAAGGTGCTCCTTCAACTACCTCATCTACCCACTTGATACCACGAACCATTTTGTACCTAATATAAATATATTTAATTATAGAACAACCATAAATTAATTTGCTTTAATGCTAAAAGTATAATAATTTGCTTATGATATTACTTGCACAACATTAATTATTTTTTATATATTTATACATAATTAACAAAAATTGCTATAAAAGTTATTTAAAATTCAAAGTAATTCAATTGTTTTATTTGAATAAAGATATACCTTTCTTGTTCCATAAATACTGGTGGTCCCTTATGCTTAGTAATTTCTTCATCTGTATGTACACCCACAACTAGATAATCACCTAATGCCTTCGCTTGACGCAAGGAATTCGCGTGGCCAAAATGCACCATGTCATAGCTGTATTGAAAAAATAATCATTTGAAAAAAATATTTGTACATTTATAACGAAATGTACAGGTGAAAAGTTTAAATGTATTTGTTTGATAGCGGAATTCGCGTAGTTTAATATAATAAAGGTTTTATAAATTGTCTCATACATAATACGTTAAAACGTAAAAAAAGAATGAAAACGGCAATTATAACAGTGTCACAGATATGAACTACTCAAAATTATCACTGTAATTTCTGTTATACGTATAATTTTCTATCACTGTATACATATAATTGTGTCATTCGTATCAAAACTTTATTGATCGACATCCTATTAACAAAAAGTCATAGTCATACACCAAGTGTGGACAACAAGCACGTAAAATTTAAATTAAGTATAGGACAAATATAATTTAATAAGAACTTACCATCCATCACACCATACCCTTACTTCTTTGCGATTTTCTGTCATAATGAATGAAATTGATACTTATAATACAAAACAGAAAAAATTCTTTTGCTCAATAAATAATAACCGGTAACTACAGAGCACACTACACGAAATCTTGGAGTGCACTGCGCTGACTGCGCGTATTGCCGACTCACGCGTCATTCGTCGCGTCATATACTTTTCATCAATTCATCCCCACTTCGATTATCATTAATATACATATGTGTATAATACTGTATCGGTAGTAGACGATATATATGTATAAATATATATATCTTGGATATATCTCATAAATCATCAAACTTGAAAAAATAAAATTTTTATGTTCTTTACCTTACAATTTTTGCACCTTACAAACAACACCTTACAATTGCAAAGATTATTGCAATTAAGTTTTGAGGATTTTCTGATGAACATATGTCTGATTCATTTACCGATAGCACATATCTCACTTTCGCCTTCGAGCCTCCAATAATTTATAGGTACATGCTTAAGACAGGAATCCACCGGAAAATTAAGATAAAGTTCCTAACTATAGTACACTACACTAAATTTAAAAATATTTGTTCTAATATGTACAGAATCATATCCATCAAAATTAAAACATAGCACGCTTTAGGAAACATTTTAGTTTTTGACGTAAATGGTTCTATATATATGTGTTGAAGCAAATATTTTTTAATTTAATACAGTGTACCATAATACAACTTCGTTTATCAGTGGATGTTTGACTTTAAGCGAAAAAGCTGAAAAGATAACTGGCAATTTCCACACACCTACCTCCCTTGTTAGCATACACAACTCGGTTCCAACATGCGTCTATTATCGAGGTAATACTGTTGCTTAGCAATTGTAAATATTTAAAAATCTAATAATTGGAGTCGTTCGTAAGGTTTTTTACAATAGTAGATTTTGTATAATATATTGGAATGATATCCATATATTAAATATATAAAGTGATTTACAATTAAGTATTGTGAGCCGAAACAACTTATTTTATGTTACAGATTTTTAAATATTTCTTAATTTCGTAAGATCTACCTATATTGCTATAAATTCTATAAATTACGTAATTTGAAATTGACATATTTTTCCTATTTCACAAATTTAATGTTGCAATTAAACAAAAACTGGTATAGAAATACACTAATTATGGAACAACAGCTTAATGACATAATATAGCATTATTACAATGAGAATGGAATACTTCATTATTTATTAAACAACATTGTACAATATAAAAATATTACGGCAATTTCAGATCTACAAAATTTACTGTATTGATAAGACATGAATATTTTATTTTTAGAATTATGACCTAATGATTCTTTAATTTATTCAGCTAACATCAAAAAATATATTCACGCAACATCATAGAACACTAAAATATACAGATTAATATATTATACGCTAAATACTATAAAGAATGACTAATGATATTACAATGTAAATTCTATTATCGTAAAAGTAATCAGACAGGCACACATAATCGGCAGTTGTGTAACTCTATCGCAAAAGTGTAACTGTACAAGATTGTGTTGGAATGAATCAATAAACTCTGACCTGATTGCATGATTTTTGATAAATGCCACAAAGCCACTCAATAAGAAAGATATCTTTTCGTGGAACAGATAGAACTGATTACTCGCAATGTCACATATTATCGTAATATTTTACCATAAGCGATGAAATAATAAATAAAAAATATTGTTTCAATGGATAAAAACCCTAGTTATTTTTTAACAAAATTTGTATATAGAATATAGTAAACTGATTGTAACATTGTTCCAAGATAATATGAGTTCCTAATTTAGTATTTTTGAATTTAATAAAAAATTTAACGAATACAATTTACCTTCCAAATAAGGAAAGTAAGCTATAATAAAATTTTATATAGAATTATCGAAATATTTTATACTTATATTATTTTATTAAATGTCTAATACTACACTGCATAGGATTTTATATCCTCTTAAGTAGAATACAATTTAATGTACTGGACGTTTGAAATAATACAGATGATCCATGCATTTACGACTTATACCGATACATTTACAAAAAACACATCTTTATAAACTACACAACTTTAGTATAAATAGTCAGCATAAACTAAGTATATTGTCCTGAAATCATTTTTTTCATTTCTTACTATTTTTCTTTAAAGTCCCATATTTTAAAGAACATTATTTGTCAATATTTTGTGCTCGATTTTCTTTTTACTTTTGTTTTACATTTCATTTTACTTTTGTTTAATGTACCAAATACATTAGGACTTTTAAATAATTAAAGTTGTACGTGAAATATATAGTCGTATTTGCAAGTATCACATGTCAAAAATCATTAGTAACATTCTACCTAACATTACATTTGCATATACGCTTTTTATCTTTTTCATTTTTTTTTTTTTTTTAAGAATGATTATGAATGTCCTTAAATTGTCGTAACCTAGCTTGCTAATACATTTAATCATATTACTTTAACGGGCCATAATATCACGTGCATTTTACTCTACTTTGTGTTTAATTGCGAGAAGCACGTTACATAAAAAAACCCGTTCTATAGAACATTCTTTAGTTTGTTTACATTTCTTTACTATATTACATAAAACATTCATTCAAAATGAATTATTTTGTAATCAATAGCCATTTTGTTGTCTATAATTACTGCCACCTCCACCTCCTCCACTGCCTCCGTATCCACCATTTTGACTATAACCACTGGAACCACCACCAGATCCTCCTCCATAATTGTTTTGAGAAAATGCTTTACTATTATAGTTGCCTCCTCCCACACCACCTACATAAACATAGATTATTTAATAATGTACATTAAAAAAGTAAAGTAGAAAGAAGATAGAACTCTTACAATTTTTATTTGACGTTATACTGCTATTATTACCATTCCACTTATTTCCTCGATCTCCTCCACCGCCATTAGAACGATCAAATCTGCCACCTCTCTCTCCGTCGCGACCGCCACGCGAACCACGGGAAGTGCCGCCACGGCCCCCAGAACCACGTCCTCCACCACCTCCACTACGTCCCCCATAACGACCTCCTACAATAAAAAACGTAAAACAAAGATATTAAACGCAAAATTAATTACGTCAAAGAAAAATACATACTTTTATAAATATACATACTTTTATAAATGCCTGGATTCCTCGATAATTCATATAGTTTGGGATTTACAACTTGTTTTGCTTCTTCTAAAACTTGAATTAAGTCACTAGCCTTGTGTGCGTTACCAGGAGTGAAAAATGCGTACGCAGTTCCCGTACGCTGTGAACGTCCTGTACGACCAATCCGGTGTACATAGTCTTCAGAATTGGATGGATAATCCAAATTTATCACAAACTTAACATCTTCCACATCTATATAACATTAGAAGTTATAATCATCAAAAACGAAAATTACTTGTGTCTTTGTGGTTCAATTAACTTACAAAGCGAATTAATTAAAGCATTAGTAGACATGTTATGTGCAATACAAATGGAATTAAACAGTACTTTTTTGTATACAAAATTTGATGAGATAAAACATTTTATATTAGAAATATTTATTCATTATTATTCATCACTAACTCCTCAGTCCTTAATTCCACTTATAATTTTCACATGAAATACACAAATGAGTTGACCACAAAGAGCAAATTTTTATATTATTTACCTGTGGTTGCCAAAAGCTGGAAACGTAAATACATTTTTGGAAATGTAGAGGAATCAGAGCTCAGATGGTTCTCATGGAATTCTCACTTTATGCGTTAGCGAGCTGTATATTTACTCTTAGTAACTTCACACCCTTCTCTCCCGCACCAAAGTATGGATCTGTGCTGGTCTTTCAAAATTTGGTCCTTGCACATTGCTTCCGTGAGGTTGGAACATTGGATGAGCACCATGTGCATTCTCCGATCAACCCCACACGCATTCCATTGCATGAGTAACACCAACATTTATTTTGCACTGTTAGGAGTTCACAAACTTTCTTTTGTACTAATGCATATTTTTAACAATTTGTAAATCGGACATACATAGATTATAAATTTAAACTAAATTTACTTTTTTTAATTTAGTGGAAATATAATTTAACAAACAGTGCAAAACAAAGTAATGCCGTTTCCTACCCTTCTAATCTAAGAAAATAAATGGTACAACATCTATCCTGTCTAGTAGTCCTTGTTTGCTAGATACCCTAACTCTATGATTTCCATACTTTGGACCGTCGCAGGTACAGAGTGAGAGTGTGTTTTTTCAAGTGGCACGGTGAGCCGAGGCACAGCGTTAGGTTAGCTTGTTGCACGGGGACAGACCAGCAGTCACGCCCCATTCAATTATATATTCCAAAGCAAGCTCTCCAGAGTTCTTATCATTGATAAAACTCCGTCGCATGTGCCTCTGAAAACACATAGAACAGCACGTTAATACCAGACTGACAAGACTTTTCTCAATCAGAGCAAAATTTAAAAACATGAATCTTCTATCATCTTACCTGTTTACCTACACTAATTTTAATGCTGAAATATTTTGACTTACTTTTAATTCCAATATTGACAATAATAATAATATAGCACTATAATCAGGAAACGAATTATGATGTTCCTCAGAACATAACTCATGTCTTAAATTAATACTAAAATATTCATTTATTAAAATTAATGAAATTTTATTAAGAAAATATTACGTTATAGAATTTATAGATTATTAGAGATTAAAAGTATGTCAAAATCCACCTAAATTGTAATAAAACTAAAATTACAAAGTATCCCTTCAGTATTGTTGTGCTGAAAAGACGAAAATAACAGCATTAACTTTCTGTTTGTGATTTTATATCATTAAGTTCCCTAAATAATGAGTTAATGGAAATCAATTAAAATATCCTAAACGAAATAGGAAAGAGACTTGAATCAGTAATTGTATTAATTGATAGTTCTCTTCTTGAACCTCTGTATTTTTTAAACAATTTCCATTCACACCAAGAAAGGACTAATGTCAATCAGTCTGGCACATGCCGTTATCCGTTGCCACATCACAATTATACAACTCTCACAAATGTGAAATAACCATCGCAGCCTGACCCTTACATCATACCCACTTGTGTGTAAACGGATTCTTACCTAATCCTCTTGCTGCAACGTCTGTAGCTACTAGAATGGCAGATCTGCTATTCCGGAACTCTGAAATAAATTCTCTAGTATTGGACAGAATATGTTTATATACATAGAATTTTACAGTTAACACTTACGATTTAATACATAATCTCTTTCTTGTTGACTTTTATCTCCATGGATGCCAATTGCTTGCCATCCATACCTATTAATTGCACGTGTTATATCATCTACTTTCCTCTTAGTTTCAACGAAAATAATAGTTTTATTCTCTGGTTCATTTGATATTTCTTCTAAAAGTTTCATAAGTTTACCCTCTTTTTCATATTCTTCACATACATCAACAATTTGAAGGATATTATGATTAGCAGCTAATTGTAGAGAACCAATATTAATTTGTATATAGTCAGTTAAAAATTCTTCTGCAAGATTACGAACTTCCTTTGGCCAAGTTGCTGACCACATAAGAGTTTGTCGATCAGGTCGGATTTGTTCTACAATTTTTCTAATTTGTGGCTCAAAACCCATGTCAAGCATTCTGTCAGCCTCATCAAGTACTAAGTATGTGCATCTACGTAAATTTGTTGTACCACGTTCTAGAAAATCAATAAGTCGTCCAGGTGTTGCTATGCAAATTTCAACACCTCGTTCAAGATCACGAGCTTGAGGGCCTTTTGGAGCTCCACCAAAAATACATGTATTTCTTACTTGTGACGAAATACCAAAATCTGATGCAACTTGTTGAATTTGCTGTGCAAGTTCTCTTGTTGGTGCTAAAATCAAAGCTATAGGACCATCATTTCTATTTAATCTTGGTTGATGATTTATATGTACTATTGCTGGTAAAATATATGCTAATGTTTTCCCAGACCCAGTTTGAGCAATTCCAACCATATCACGTCCAGATAAAGCAATAGGCCACCCTTGTGCCTGAATTGCAGTTGGTTCCCCGAAACCTTGTCTACGAATTTCATTTAACACATAGTCTGGAAATCCACCTTCCTCAAAAAATATATTTGGCCCTGGCACATTTGTTCCTTTTACAGTAATTTCTTTATCTGAACGATAAGCTTCAACTAAATGTGAACTTCGAGTTGTAACATTAGGATGAGGTTGATAGAAATCTTTTCTAAATGGTGGTAATGCACTCATATCCCATCTTGGTTTTCGAAGCCGTTCTCCAGGTTGCCGGTTTTTAAAATTATTGTTTCCAAAACTACTATCTCTATTGGAATTACTACCAAATCTCCCACTTCCACTACTTCCATCTCGACCGCTAAAACGACCTCCTCCACGTACTCCTCCTCCTCCTCTTCTATCACTACGTTCACGATCACGATACGCCCTTAAACATAAAGTAATTTCTATGTATTAACTAACTGTGAATACAGTACACAGTTTATATACATAGATATAATTATGTGAATAGTTGTAAATGATATTATAAAAAAAATATTTTGTTTTCTAATATATCGTATATCATTTATAACATAAGTATATGTATTTAATACTATTTTAATCATATGAAGTAAAATAAATTTTAATAATGTAGCTTAAACACGTGCTGTGAATTCGTGAGATTATAATTATAAAATCAAGATCCATATATTTCATACTTATAAAAACAAATTATTAATATTAAAACTATCCTTTAATAATAAGTAATGTGTTACAAATAAGTTTAAAAGCCAGATATATATTAAGTATGAGCGCAAAAATTTCATTAATATAAGAACAATATGGAGTAAAGCAGTCAATCATAGACATCAAATGTCAATAAGAAATTTACAGGAAATAGGTATTTTTACGTAATGCTAATAGAAATTTCATATAACTTACATTCTCATAAAGATACTTATTACTCCAAAATTAGAATTGCGATGATTTTCCTTAATAGCAACACGTACCACTAACAAGAACCAAGCAAAAGTATGTTCTACTTTCTATTACGCGTTCTCGTTATACGATTCGAAGAGGATCTGTGAAACAAATATCATGGCGTCGTATTGTATCAGGAAATACCTCCATTTTACTTTCAATTTTATCATTTTATATATATTAACATATATTACTTTTATCATTTAAACATACTTTAACCATGTACAAAATATTTTATTTATTTTTTTCAACTATTAAAGTTTAAATATTAAGTATAAATATTTTATGAAATATAATTGCATAAAATACCGGAAATAATAGTATCGAGTAGGAAAAATACATTAAAATAAAATATCGGATTGATAAACAAACTATCAACTTATTAATGTCTTTTGTTTTTATAGCTTATAGGTAAGAACAACTCAGTTAATTTTGTTAAAAAGGATAATTTTATTAATATAACTTGAAATGCGCACGCACACACACAACATAAAAATATAACAAAATACATTTAGTTATAATTATTTAATGGGAAATTTTAGCACTTATATAACTTGTTTGATATATTCACGCAGTGAAATAAACAATTTATTTTATACATGTACCAAAATTTATTGAATAAAATTTTATCATAATAAATGAAAAATAATATATATATATATTTGTGAAAAATATTAAGTTTTAAATTTTTTGTAGTTATATTTAATGAACATCATTATATTAAATTATATTTAATAAACATCATTTAACATTCTATATGTATATGATATGTATAACAAAATATAATAAGCTAATTTCACTTAAATATTATTTTTCACAAAGCTTCCTTAATTAAAATATTTTTTACTTTGACACAAAATATTATTAACACAAAATATAGTATAGTTATAAATTATATAATAAAAACATAATATATATTTATTAACCTGAAATGTTTTTTAAAACATTTTGTATAATGAAATGTAGTTTTTAACTTTTAAAATAATACATACATATTTAACAAACATTATTTTAACCATTACTAACTATCTTTTTATTTTTTTCTTTATCATGTATATAAAATACATGATGCTTTTTGGTTCTGTTTCATATTTTGTGTATTCTTTATTTTATTTATCTTAAGATTAACACAAATGTAACTATACTGTTATTAACATACTTTGATAGTAAAATTTGTTTGTAATATAGTATATGTATTTTTAGTATGTTGTTCCTCTATACTGATAAGTACTTCCATAATTATCTCCTCCCCCATAACTTGGTGTTAAATTGCTCTGCCCATAAGTTCTCTGTGTATACCCATACCCTGTATTCTGATTAGTTGAATTACTTTGTCTCATATTGTTATAGCTATTGTAATCTGAATTTGAATAATTGTTTGAAGTAGATTGATAAGAATTTCCACCACGACCTCTTCCTCTCGTAGAACCACCTCTTCCTCTGGTATCAGTATTACCTCGTCTAGCATTACTTCTGTCATTGCTCATAAATCGTTTGCCACCTTTCACAAAAAATACAAAATAAATGAATTATGAAATTTATTTAAGCTTGACATGAAAATAATTTAAACACATACTTCTGCTTCCATAACTTCCTGATTTAGCTAATTCTGCCATTTCAGTAAGTCGTGGATTTATATTTTGTCCTGCTTCTCTTAATACCTCTATTAAATCTCCTGCATGTTTCATGTTATGAGTTGTAAAGAATGCATAAGCGGTACCAGTTTGTCTTCTTCGTCCAGTACGACCAATTCTATGTATGTAATCTTCTGACGATGACGGATAATCAAAGTTTATTACATATTTAACATCATCCACATCTGTGAAAAAATATTTTACAAAATATAAGAATTTTCCTAATATTTATACTTATATGTATATTGTTTGTAATAATCATCACCCCATTTGTTGAGTGTGTCAAGTTCACAGAATGATCTTCAAACTTGCAAAAGTAATTATATAGAATGCTTGAGATGAAATATATAAAATTGTTTCGAATATATTAAATTATTATAAAATTTTTAAAAGTTTTTAACTTTTATTGAGATGGAACAATATCCCCCAATTTTCACTTAAATATATTTGTCTATAAGTCAGGTTTGAAAACCACCCACCTTTTAGTTGGAAATTCCATTTCAAAATCAGCAAAAACAGCCCCATTTACTTTTAAATGTAGGGCTATTCAGTCATGTATGATGGCCTAGAGATTAGACAGACACAGCGGTAGTGTCTGGTTTGGGATAAAGGCAGCATTTTAATGTTTAAGCCTGAATGCATTGACCTTTTTAGATTTTAAATAATAATTTTAACAATTAGAGGCACTAGAAAACGCTTGAGAATTGTTTGACATACTATAACAGCAAATCAATAGACAAAGATAAAAAAATAAATATAATATATACTACTTACATATATACGGTAAAACAGAATTTTTTTTTTAATGTATGATTACTTTATAATTATTGTATTATAAACATTTTCGATGTAATCATTACTATTATTATATTATAAAATTAAAATCTGTATTAAATTCTTAAATTTAAATTCAAAAATATATAATACTATATAAGAATTTAAAAATTGAAAACACAGGCGTATGTTTAATATTTTGATATTGTTATTGATATAATACAAGCAAAGAAAAATAAAACATTCACTGTGTCTGCCCAATACTGGCAGTACACTGCGTTCACTTAGGGTACTCTGTGCCTCTGAAAAAGAAAAGCAGACAGTCTTAGTGGTAGCTTGTGTGCATTTCTTTAGAACCCTTCATATAAATTTTATTATTGAAAAAATATGTTTATTTAAATATTTATACATATAAGTAACCCTATATATTTCATTAATGATAAAAGAAATACAAACCTGTTTAAAACGTAAATCATATCATAAAGTATAAAAATAAAGTTAAAATAGAGTTTAATCTGTGTATTGTAAGGGCTCTGCTATCAAAAAATTTCAATAAATCACACATTGCTACATACATAGCTGTCCACTGGTCTTATTAATAACGCATCTGGCTAATCCAATAAGTGTTGCCAATTCCCATATTCACCCGATATTCTTGACTGTGTAAATAATCTAAGTACTATGAAGAAGTAACGCATACCTAAGCCTCTAGCAGCTACGTCTGTTGCAACTAAAATAGGAGCTCTTCCACTTTTAAATTCCTGTAATACATGATCTCTTTCTTGCTGATTTTTATCACCATGAATACTCAATGCTTGCCATCCATCTCGCCTGATATTTCTTGTAATATCATCCACTTTTCGTTTTGTTTCAACAAAAATTATTGTTTTATTTTCTTTTTCATTTCCAATTTCTTGAAGTAGTCTATATAATTTTAAATCTTTTTCAAACTCCTGGCAAACATCCACAATTTGAATAATATTATGATTAGCTGATAAAGTCAGAGAACCAATATTAAGATGTGTATAGTCAGTCAGAAAGTCTTCAGCTAATGCACGAACTTCTTTAGGCCATGTAGCTGACCACATCAAAACCTGTCTATCAGGTCGAATTTGTTCAATTATCTTTCTTATTTGAGGTTCAAAACCCATATCCAACATTCTATCAGCTTCATCTAATACTAAATATGTGCATCTAAAATAATGCATATTCAATATCATATATATTGAAAATATTTTAATTGTATATAATTTTAGTTAAAAATAATAGTTATACCTGCGTAAATTTGTAGTCCCTCTTTCCAGGAAATCAATAAGTCTACCTGGTGTAGCAATACATATTTCAACACCTCTTTCTAAATCATGTGCCTGTGGGCCTTTGGGTGCACCACCAAAGATACAGGTATTTCTTACACCTGCTGCTTCTCCAAAACAATTAGCTACTTCCTGAATCTGTTGGGCTAATTCTCTTGTAGGAGCTAAGATTAAAGCAATTGGACCATCTCCATTACCAAGACGTGGTTGATGTATGATGTGTACAATTGCTGGTAAAACATACTGAAATAAAAATATTTTAAAAGTTTATCAATTCATATAAACTCATTAAAACTTAATTTTATATACATGTATTATGTGCATATTTTAACTCTTAATAAAAAAAAAACGTCTTTACATTTCTACAAGTTAAAAATTAATGTATCTCTAATTTGGCTCACTCCTAGCGTTTTTCCAGAGCCAGTTTGTGCAATAGCAACTAAATCTCTGCCACTAAGTGCAATAGGCCATCCTTGTGCTTGAATTGCTGTAGGTTGAGAGTATCCCTGTTTATGTATTTCATCCAATACATACGGTGGGAAGTTTCCTTCCTCAAAATATTGAATAGGATTAGGTATATTGTCACCTTTTATAGTTATTTCTGCATTTTCTCTGAACTGGCATACTTCTTCTTTTGATCTAGTGTAAAGTATTGTATTGAAATTTATATTGTAGTTAAAGAAAATAATAAAGAGTAGATAAAAGGTTTTTACCTGCTTCTTACTGTAGGATGTTCAATATAAAAATCTTTGCGCAAAGGTTCTAAAGATCTCACATCCCAATTGATTTTTCTAAGAGCTCCTCCAGGTTGTTTGTTTTTTACAATACCTCTGATATTATTAGTAGTGCCTCTACCACGTATACCGCATATATTAATGCTATTACCACGAATACTATCACTACCTCCTTTATTGTTACCTCTGCCACTACCACCTCTGCGGGCTCTATTGTGATCTCTGTCTCGATTAAACCTGGATACATAATCTATTTTAATTTATAATCAGTTTATTATTATATTATAGGATACAAATTTATTAGATATATTATAGGAATTTCATATAAATTTAATATTTGTTATAATGACTGAAATATTTTAATAACTTGTTTGTTTATTTAGAGACATGATACATTCCGTAAGAAATGTATTTTTTTCATATAAGAATGTAATACTTTTTCAATAAAATTATGAGAGTAATATAAAAATTATTTTTTTATTTTAATATCTACTTTAGTTAACGATCTATTGTAGATGTACGATAATATAGACACCTATATAGAGATATGTTAAAATATACAATCATTTTTTATCATAAATTTTGATTATTGATTACCATTATCTGCAATACGATTTGGCACTACATACTTGGTAACTACAATAAAATAAATAATTAAATGCCTATACTCTGAATTACATCCATGGAAATTTGAATACAAATGT